GTTTTTCTCACGCACGTACACACACACACACAGAGGGCAGTTTTTTTACTTTTTTTTTTCACTTTTTTTTTTCACTTTTTTTTTTCCACGTGTATTCTGCCACGTGTCTGAGGCCCATTGGGCCTAACCCGTTGATCGGATTTCAACGGGAAGCCCCCGTTGTACCGTTCAACGGGGATTCAACTCGAACCCCGGGGGTGTACAACTGTTACAACGGAGTTGTACAAAACCCGTTGCGAGTTGAATGGATACATAGGTCACTGGCTATCAGGCAGACACAGGTTCTCAAGCACAGTCCACCTCATGCACATCATATCAAGTGAGAGGAGATAAATTAACATATCCTACATATTATAGTAGAAACGTAGCAGAAGGAAGGTGTGGGGGAGAAGAGGCGTAGATCAGAGGAGGAAAGAAAGCATAAGATAATTACACAAGAAGTCTAACGATCTTGACGAGAAATTTGGGTTCAAATGTCGGGTGAACGGAACCCACGCTTGAAGACTTATACTTCGAGACAGAAAAGGCGCATCCACCATAAAATTTCACCATGGCCCTAAACCATACATCCACTCAACCTTCGAACCTCACACCGGCACTGACGATCCTGACCATCACGTGCTACTCCCACCATAGCGATTGTCAACGGTCACCCCACCGACTTAGTCTCTGCACGGTCTTGCCTGAATCCCATAGTTCGTCGGGCGATCCAGCGCACAGTCGACAAGACTACAGTCATCCCGTTAGGACTTTTCGACTCGCACCTTCACACGTACGGAAGCTGGCTGTTGAGTTGAGAGAGAGATTTCCGGTAGCGCTTGCGAAATTTGTAGTTGCGGAAAATGAGGTAGATGCTAGGAAGGGTTAGGACTGAGGTAGGGAAAGGTACTAGGGGAAGGTTCGGGGATAATCGTCCGACAAAAGCCATGTCGATCCTTCGGATCCCAGTTGTAGCCAATCAGAATCGTCGTGTAACAGGAATTTCTTTCTTACACGGTGCGTCTCTTTGGCTAGAGGGAAGGAGAAGGAAATCGACAAGGTATTCCGACGCAAGGATTAAAGCGGTAAGAAGAAGGGCACGAACGATAGCGTGACACAAAACCAAGATTTAGACGATCAAGAAAGAGAAAAGGCGTGCGAGGCAAAGCAGAGATGGAAAAACGGTTACAGAGAGAGGAGCGTGAGCGCGAAGAAGAGAGTGTCGAAGATAGCAAGGGAAACGGAGAGGGGGGGGAGGAGGGGAGAGGAGCTCGCATGCATGGCACCGACATGAAAGCAAAAAGGGCACCGAAACAATTACAGCTCATTCAGAATCCTACGCTAATACAAAATTGAAAAACACCAGGTCCGCCCGTAGAGTGAACACGGGAAAAAGTCCTACGCCTATTCAGATTCACAAAAGAATTCCCAGAGTTTTCCGAGACAAAGTCGAAAACATTTACGAACAAAAAGGACACGTCGGGTCCCGCTTATTCCGGAATTCCTTAACCGTCGAGCAAAATCCCCAGCGCGCTCGCTAAGGCACGCACAATTCCCATGTATTTCCCGAATTGCGAAAAGATGGAATTCCAAAAACCGATCAAAATGACAAGGGGAATGCCTCTTTGATTATGAGTAATGCGCATCAATTCATGAAAACACAAAAAAGGGGCCTCTTCGCTCTGGTTGCAAAAGATCACAAAAAGAGAGGGGTGGGGGTTTGGAAGATGGCGTAGGTCCGGAAGCTGGCGCATCACATTCACGCGCCACCATGCCCTAAAGAGCTGAGTGAGGTCACAATACAGGCATAAGTGCTATACATCCTCAATGAGACAACCCCGACAAATCTGGCAAAGAGGAGTCGCCTTGGAAGTTTTTTTTGCCCACCATAAAGCAGTTGGAACCGCCTGATGAGCCAATAACCACATATAGCTGGCTGGCTTGACAACAGTCAAGTCCATCATTAACTTGAAATGACGGGAAAAAGCCAGTGCCAGGCGAGGAGTCGAATCTGCAATCCAGCCGGTGGCCATCCATCATTAACTTGTCCATAAACGGGCAAGAAAGTTGATAACCCAGCTTGGTGGAATATCGATATAACGGGACCCACTCATCCGTGTGGCGCGGGTGCTTCCACTGCCAGTCCCTAGGATCAACAGGCAGGTTGTAAGCGGGAAGGGACAAACAATAGGGGTAGGCATAATCAGGAGAATCAGGGTAATCAAGGACACAAACAGGAACCAAAAGGTGGAAACGGGGTAATGGCAAAGGAAGTTGGGAAGGTGTAAGGGGAGGGCCCAACGAAAGAGGAGCTTGCTGGGTTGTCCAAGTGGAAGCACCAGGCTCCCCAACAACATTCTGCGAGGAATTTTAATGTGACCCTCAGCCAAAAGTCGTTTGTATTGCAATTCTACACAACATATTGGTTTCTCAGAATTTTTTTATTTTTTATTTTTTTGGCAGCCCTCGGATTTTTCTTTTTTTTGGCACTGGGGCTGCCGGGAACCCTGACCGGGGGTCATGCCCGGCCGGGCACCCGGGCATCTAGCCGGGCATAAGTTGGGTGCCCGGGCGCCTGGAAAAACATCCTAGACCCCCCCAGCAAGGTATCATAGTTGTGTGTATATGTGTGCCCAGAGGCTATGTATGTTTGTATGAGCCCCCAGGCAGTGTATATATTCAGGATCCATGTTTGTGTCTGCCCGAAGGCCAGATAAGTGCAGTACTATGTAGAGGGAACTACCTGTTCGTTGAACAGATGACAGGCCAAGCTGGACAAGAATCCCCCCAAAGTCCCAAGCCAGAGTCGAACCCATGATCTATGACATGTGACCTGAAGGCTCTACAATTTTTTGAGCAAGAACAGCAAACTGCACCTTTGTGTGATATGCCACACTGGGAAGATCAACAGAACAACCACAAGCAACAGCAACAAGCAACCCACGCAGTATCAAGGCCCTACATACAACACCCTGAACAACCCTTGGGTGGCGTGCAGGCAGCGTCTGTAATAGCTCACCGTGTGTCAGGCCAAGGGGGTGTGCGCCCTGCCGGTAGCAGGTCTTTCCGCCGCGAGGCTGCCGAGTCTAAGTCCATGCGCAAGGCGGCGGAGTTTTGAACCTGCAACCTCATAACACAATGAGGATTTCCAACCCCTGCTCCAACCACTGAGCTATATCTTTTTTTTTTTTTTTTTTTTTTTTTTTGGGAAAAAGCAAGCTATATCATTGCATGCCTTACGAACAGAGCTAGGCCGCTGGAAAAAAAAAACAAGAAAAAAAAAAATCCTTTCTTTTTTATTTTGATGTTATTCTCTCAAGTTCTTTTTTCCCCTTTGACTACCTACCTACAACTGCTCCTAGGGCTATATAGAGGGGACCCCTGCAAGCATTCTTTCTTCCCCAGAATCCCCAGCAAAAAAGTAAAAACTGACGGAATAAGCAGACCCTTTGTTCTATACGGGGAGGAATATGCAACGCGACCAACCGTCACGACATTATTAAAAAAGGGCGCGAGGGCGTCGAACTCATCCATCATAGCTGTCGGTGGTCGCTCCATTCATTTTTTGAAAACGCCCACGACACGACACGGACCGCGGTGGTCCAGGACAGTTTTCGTCCAGGGGAGGGGTAAGCGCACCGTGCGGTGGGCGACCGGCGGAGCTGGTGCGCACGGGCGCGCGCCATTCGGCTCGGCACAACCCAAGCACTCGAGAGAAGCGACGGCAGCGTCCCACTGCAGGGGGCAGGAGTTGAGGCGGGGCAGAAAGATGGCGATGGAGATTCCTGCCGCGCGGCAGCAGCAGGTCTTCCTGCTTGCATGCTTGGCGCTGACGGCTATGGCCGCCGCCGTGAATGCCCAGACAGTGACTGTTGGAGCAGGCAAGCAGTACTCTACGATTGGCGGCGCTTTAAGCGCAGCAGGCCCCGGGACCACCATCGCTATCGACGCCGGAACCTACAGGGAGAAGCTGACCGTCAGCAAGAGCGGCATCAAGCTGATGGGAACAGGCGGGGTAGCAACGATCGTGTGGGGAGATACCGCGGCGTCGTCGGGCAGCACGCAGGAGTCTGCGACCGTGACCGTTGCTAGCTCGGCGTCGGGGTTCACGGCCGTGTCCATTGGCTTCAAGAACGATGCTGGACCCAACAAGAGGGGTTCCACCAATCAGCAGGGAGTGGCCTTGTACGTGCTGGCGGACTCCACCTTCTATCAGTGCACGATGGACGGGCACCAAGACACTCTCTTTGCTCACGAGGGGAGGCAGTACTACAAGGGCTGCTGGATCTCAGGCACCGTAGACTTCGCGTTTGGCGCTGGCACAGCCTTCTTCGAAGACTGCACGATGTACGCGAAGAAGAGAGTGGACTCGAAGTACGCAACCTACACGGCCCAGCAGCGCACGTCGGCGTCCTCCAGGAGCGGCTTCGTCTTCCTGAGGGGAAGCCTCAAGTGCGACGCAGGAGTGAAGGCCTTCCTCGGACGAGGGTGGGGGCAATACGCCAGAACCATCTTCATTGAGACGAGCATGGATGACTGTATTCGACCGGAGGGGTGGACAACAATGAAGAGCTTCAAGACGACGGACGACACCTTCTTCGCGGAATACAACTGCACGGGACCGGGATCAGACAGAAGCCAGCGCGTGTCCTGGGCCAAAGAGCTCACTCCGGAACAAGCGCAGACCTTCTCGAACAGAGGTGCTTTCTTGGGAGGCAGGAGACGTCGCAGCCGATTCTGAAATTATAGTCTAAATAGAATCTAAGTGGCCGCTCCTGACTGAGGAAGTAGGAGGAGGAGAAAGGATGTGACGTCGAAGTTTCTCGCTGTCTTTCTGCTTGTGCGTCCGTCTGTCTGTTCTGTGAAAATCAAGTCACAGAACGGTGTTGTCCAGCAGGAGAGGGAGGAATTCATATCTGGAAGAGGAGTAGGAGGTCTCTGGTGGAAGAGGACGAGGACGAGCATATTTTACGGTTTTACCGACAGATAAACACAAGTCTGACTCACTGTATATATATATATATATAACATTTTATTACTGCCCCTCGTTTGTTGTCCTCTTCCCCCTCTCTGCCTACGGTTTACCGGGCAGCTCTGTTTGTCTAGAGAGAGACACACACACACACACACA